GGATGGATGGATGGATAGTTAGATAGATAGATCTCTTCTAATTCTAAAGTTTTTATATTGTTTTCCTATTATACATATGGGCATATATGTTATATAAATACATTGGGGTCAATTTAATGAAGAAAATTAGCTTGTTGATAAGACAACACTGCACTTTTCTGAAAAGTCTTACCACAGAATTTATACCTCTTAGAAAAAGAATGAATCTTCAATAAACCAGTTTATCCAAGCAAACCTAACATGGTTAAGCTTTTCTGTTCATGTGATGTACATCATATAAAATCAACAGGCAAACAGGCATTCTAATATTTTCATTGCTGAACATTCTATTTCAGATAATCATAAAACAAACCCAATTAGTGTTACCTAAATGGAAGTGATCTAGATGTGGAAGATCTTTAGACAAATCTGGAAAAAACAAATATAGGCATTTTTTTCCTTTATAGGAGACTCTTAGATAAGAATGACCTGAAGTAATTCCAAACAGACTAGGTTTTTCATTTTACAAAATTTGTGTATTTTTTTATGTCACATGTCAAGGCCTAAATCCCATGGCTCTACATATAGATATAGGAATTCTTAAAAATGGGGGAAAAAGGCATGGTAATTCTGTTAACATTACAATAAACAAACTCAAAATTCCTAGAGGTACATAAGTTGACAGGCTTTTAACATCCACATTTTAATTATCGGTTTTGAGGAACCCAAAACTTGTAGGTTACTGGAGCTACATTATATCCTTTAAAAACTAGGTCTAAGTTCACACCAATAGGAGAACATAATTTGAGATGGAATTTCATCCTTTAGTATTTCTATCTACTTAAAAAAAAGAAATCCACTTGTTAACAGGTAAGGATTCATTGCACAAGGAATGACGGTCACGTTGTCACCCTTACTTAATGGTTCATTTCAACGATTGCACTAATTCAAAATTGAAACAAACAAACAAACATCAAGCTGCCCCGAATCCCGCCCCACTGCAAATAAGCAACAGAAATCTAGCCAGAAACTTCAGGAGTCTGTGTGAAAAGAAGCCTCTAGCACACTTTGGAGAAAGAAATGTTTTTATAAGACTATCTGTATTCATCCATGTCATTGCTCAAAGATAGTTTAGGAAAATAAAGAGTTTTGGGAAGCAAATCAAGAATGAATGGTCATCCTAACTAGATATGGAATAACAGTCTGTATACTTAATATATTCAGTTTCAACATTTATTTAAAAGTTTCCATATAGAAAGTGAAAGATTTTTTAATAGATGCAGAAAAACTGGGTTCCCAATTCGGACTACCCTATGTGACTTTTGTCATTATCATCTTTTCTGATTCTTACAAAGTAAACCTAATTAAGAACCTCCCTCATTAGTCTTCCAGAAAAATTAGCACAACTTATGCTAATTACTCCTGCAAAATTTAATAAACTCGTTGAAATGGGAATAGTCTAATGAGGTTTTATTTATTGAACTAAGATAACTCCAAGTAAAAAGGTTAGGACACAAGGATATCCAATGTGGTAATAAAACTCCTATTTATTCAATTTCTAAACATGAAGTTTATTGCAAACCTTTTAAATTGAAATATTAGTTACTCTGTGAATATGTTAAATCAATCTCCACCTTAATTCAATAACTAGAAGTCATTTTTTGCTTTTTACTTTAACAATAATTACCACACATAGCCCTTTACCTCAAAAATAATGAAATCTGCTGTTATTAGTTCCTGGTCATTTGCTATTGAACATAACACATTTGACTTTTCCCATGTCTACACAGCTCAAATATCTGGATCACTGAGTGCAGGCTGGGTTATGTGCTTCTTAATCAAGCTATTTGGCATCACACAGAAATGTAACCTGGCATTCAACTCCAGATGTGCGCTTCCTACATCTACAGCATTTTTTCTATAAACTTTTTTGAAGTGACTTGACAAATTGTCATGATGGTAGAAAGAATTGGGGTCATATTTTTCTTAGTCTGTGCATGCCATAAGGATGAATATAATAGAAGCCCCTTTTCTAAATCACCGTTTGCAACTGCTGATTTTGTTAATTCTACTTTTTGGATAGGATATGCCAGGCTGATGTCCCAAAGTCACTGGTAGCAAATAATACAGCCAAAATTTAACACAGAAATAGCTTGCCCTGCACGGTTGTACTATGACCAGAAAGCCTCTTCTCTCTACCCTATAAATAGTTTTCCTGAATAACCACTGCTAAAAGTCTTTTGACTGATAAAAATAGCAGTGTTCTCCCAAATTCCGAAGGACAAGCAAAGAGAGCTAAAAATTATTGGTGCTCAAAAGTTAACTGCGTGTTAAAACTATGCTAAATCCTAATGCAAAGATTGCCTGTACTCTCAGCTCTGTAATTGCATATAGTATGCATCTGTTGAAAACAGTTTCTATTGTTACTGAATGCAGGCCTCAAAGCCTATTTTTACAAAATATTCAGAGATTCGCATCCATAAATCTGAAAGCAAATCACACCCTAAGCACGTAACACAGATATTATGCAATCAGTAATATAGAATCAAATTGGAAACTATGAAATTCAAACACAGTTGCCATCATTTTTTCCCCTTTGCAGTAATATTATGGAATTGAAAAACCTTTTCTATTTTGCCTTTTCTTGCATAAGTTCTTTTCTTGTTGTTATTCTCTTCTCTCATTGTTAAAAATGGAAGTTTCACGTATCAGCACAGACAGGACTGGAGCTTTTAAAACCTTTGGCAGCCTGAAGGACAAATAAATTCTGAAAACTCTGATGCAAATAAAAATAGCTAAATGGGGTTTTGCATATCAACTGGCATCATTGCATGAAAAGATAGTTCATCAGAGACAATGGCAACAGCCAGCGAATAAACATATGCTGTGGGGCTTGTGCACATACACTGAGTTTCAGCTGTTTTTAAAGTACTCCTATCTGAAGAGACCAAGATTGGATACACACTGTTTTCTACTTTGTCAAATCAAAAGGGAAAAAAAAAATGAAAAGGATAAATGTCATGAGTAATATCTCCGAAGCCACCAACAGCATAAAGTGCGTACTTATTTTGCCTAAATTGTTTGAACTACCCCAGCCAAGAAAAGGTTTTAAGTACCCTTCTGGGACAGATGCAAGGCGGCAACAATAGAAGCCACACTAATGCAATCCAGGTAACACAATCCTGTTTCAAAAACAGGGGCCAGGCTAATTACAGTGCTGCTGAGTCAAGTTTCTTATGCCTTCGCAACCCACAGGAACAGGTCAAAATCAAATGTTATTCAAACCACAGTCATATCAACCTTCTATATCAGAGTCACAGCTTCAAACCAAATGAAGAACTTAAAAGCTTAACCCATTCACAAGCAAAAAAAAAAAAAGTGTTTTCATTGAGGGTGGCAAGGTAAGGTTCTTGTCATCATCTAAACCAAAAGGAACTGCATGGCAGAACAAAATGTTTATAGTTTCAAAGTTTTGGGGACTATTTGGGCTGGTCCTTTGATCAGTACACTTTCTTTTCAACAGAGGAGTAAGAAAAATGCTTAAAATAACAAATGATATTTTGGAGAGGTAAATTTAAATAAAACAAACCAGCATAAAGGTTAAATTTACTTGTGACCTTATTCATTTGGAGATTTATGTTCAATCACAGAAAAAGCAATTATATGAACAATATATCTGATTTTGTAGATAAACATGTTATCCTAATTCTATAGGTAGCACACACATCACCATATGTCAAACTTTCTCATCTTTTAACTTTGAATCAAATATACTAATACTTTTATATGGATCAAAAATATATATATTTTAGTGAATATTAGTGAGGACTATTTAGTTAAAATATCGAATTGAAATGTAACCTTTATAAAGCTACTTGGCAATCAATTGGTTTCAAGCCTGAAGACTCACATAAGCCAAAATCGACAATCAATCTTTTGGCATAAATTATGATGAAGCAAAGTAAACATCTTGTTTTTTGTTGTTGTTGTTAACTGAAAAATGATAAAATGAGTCCAAAAAAGATAGAAAAAAAGATTTTTTTTCTTTTGTTGTTGTTGTTGTCAAAAATCAATATTGCTGAAACCCAAAAAGGAACTTTTGTTTAACCGTTGATTTCCTCAATGAGGGATCGGTCAGTCTTATTGGCAAGACTCTTTTTCCAGCTAGTACAAGATGCTAGCTAGCTCTTTTCCTAGCTGACAATTGACAGTATCTATAAACCTTCCAGGCCATTTAACTCTCAATGAGTAATGCTATGTAACAAATGGTTTATCATACATGTTTCCATACAATGAATTTCAATAATTAAAATGTAAAATGAATATTTGGAATGCGACTTTGCATAATGCGTGCACACTGACTTGAAATTGCACCGAACGACTAAAACAGATTTATTGTTCTACAGTGATTTACTTGGTCATGTCAGATTAGTAATATGGATCTGTTTAAAAACACAATAATTAAGACAAGCAGGATAAATTAATCAACTTACAATATAGTCTCATACTGCAATCAAACCCAGCAAATAACAGTAGAAAATCTTGGTTCACAGATCTCTTTAAACTGCTTTTATGCATAAATAAAACCTTAAAATGTAGATGGATTACGTCCAACAGAACTACTGTAGCTAAAAGTGATAATGATTCAAACATTTTTCAAATAAAAGTTAAATATTTATAAGCACCCAACCACATTTCATAAATCACAAACTATTATTATTTTATTTCTGAAGCTTCCTGGCACAGCATGAGGATTAAGCCACAGAAAGTCAGGAAAGAAAAAATATATTCCTTTAGGAGCATGAATCAGGCAAAAACCGGAGCAATCCAAGGAACAGGCCTCTAAAAGAACATTCCATATGGCTTTCCCAGGAATCAAAATCGCTCAGTGCAGCATAAGTCAAGACCAACAGGCAAATTTCGGCCACATGCATTCCTAACCCTTGCCCATGAGCAACACAAGGGCAGGTGTTTCATTATAATGAGGAATAAGAATCCAGTGAAAGAAGAGTGGTCCCTACCTGTCAATTATCACTGGATCTGAGGGAGTCTCATTTCGGTTGCCACAGCTTTTCTTGTCACAACAGCGGCTATGGAGCAAAAGCGAAAGGATTTAGTACAACCATTACAATGTAAAATCATCATTTAGGCAGACAGAAGGCTCAAATTGCTGGGTTGCAAATGCTAGAATTACCACAAAGCCATACCTGGCAATCAACGGATCCCTGGGACAGAAAATTCTATTTGGGTCACCTATGGGTTAATGGCCAGGCTTAACCTCTCCCTGCTCAGAGAAGGAGGTGGGGGAGAGGGGCTCTCCCAGAGCCAAGACTGAGAGCCCCAAGATGGGGTCTCCCCATCACTGCCCGCGGTGCTGGCAGAGTTCACTGTGAAGTGCACTATTATTACATCTACCCAATGAGAATATTCGAGGTTGTGGGTGGCTCAAACGTTCTTCCCTCAAGATCACACTAATTGTGTGGAACGCATCAATAATGAAGTATGAGTGATTTCTCCCCCTCCAGTCATTTTGTATTAAATGGATTCCTTTTTCTTCTCTTTTCTTCTTTATGGGCGGCATTTGCTTCAACCACAGCCTTTCCAAAAATCCTACAGCTAGAACTGTTTGCTTTTGAACCATTTTCATGAGAATAAAGGTAAAACACAATAATTAAGACAAGGAAGAGGTAAGATAAAAGAAAGTGGAGATTCACATTCCTCTGGCTATAAAAGCCTGCTCTGGCCCCACTTAAGTTTTCTAGGGGCATTATGGACATTGGAAGTAAAGATTAGCACAGCTCTGTGAGGGGACGCTCTTTATATTAGAGAAGGAACAGCCTATAGGCTCAAAAAGTACCCACTACTAAAATCTCCCCCGCCAAGTGTGGCTGCCAGTTTTTTAAAAACTGAGATGCCTTCTAAAGGGTGAACATTTTATGTTTTTGAAAAGTACAACGATCAACAGAAAACAATCCATCTGAAACTTGTTTGCAAATAAAAACAAGACCTGCACCAGGGGCACACTTATAAAAGCAGTGAAGTAGATGGGGAGGGAGGTCCTCCAAAAGTTGTATTTCACCAGGCACCACAAGCAAATATGCACTTCTTGCTCTTACACACACACGTGTACACACAAAGAGATACACACATACATGCACACTTGCAACTTAGTGAATCATACAGCCTACATTTAGAGGGCTGTTGGAGAGAATCAAAGATTGAATTTCATCTTCAGGACCCAGAAATATACCCCTACATAGGGAGTCCTTCACCAAAATTGGAAGGTCTCTTTTTTTCCATAACTATGTCTCTGAGAAAAGAATTAGTTTCCACTCTTAGGTGTCTTCTGTTTTTCTTTCATATATTCAGAGAGTAAGAGTAAGAACTGTATCTCCTTTGACAAAGCCTCAGCTAAAACCACTCTTATAGCCTTTCACCTTCTGATTCAGAGGGGACTATTTCCTCCAGGCCTGAGTTCTGCTATATACTGCTACTTTGGGGATGGAAAGCCCAAAGTATCTCGATATCTAAGAGACAGATAAAGTAGCACGTAGCTGAAGCAGTGGAAAATACGAGCAGTTGAAATGCATACCAGAAAATACATAAAAATGTAACTCCTCCATCCCTGAACTCTGATCCCCTATACCCACATATCATGGGCTTCTCAGAATAGTATAGTGGTTAAGAACACTGGTTCTGAAATCTGACAGAGATGCCTATGTCAACTTGAGCAAGGTAATTCACCTCACAAGATCTCAGTTTCCTCATCTGTAAAATGGAGCGATTTCAGGACCCATCTCTAAATGCCAGGGAACAGGCTTGAGGCAATAAGGGTATAAAGACTTGGCTTCATGACTGGCCTCACTAAAGCCACAATGAAGCATCATTATCACCCTCTGAACCTACCTCCTTCAGTCCCCTCCTCCTTCAAGTCCAAGCAAAACTGCCCTGTGCTCTGCAAAAGCAGCAGGTCTCCAAAAGCAGCCTGTCAACAGAGCCCACATCTCCTTTACCCATGGAGGAAAACTGTCAGGTGAGAAAACCTACTTCTCCTTCATTTTCCTTTTCAAAACACCAAGGAGGCAATGCAAGCTGCCCACAGACCTGCCTGGGAGAAACGTCCTCCAGGAATTCCTCCAACCTACTTGCTGATAACCGTGCACAAGGGTCTGTTTTTCAAGCCTATCTGATTTTCTGCTTCCCCACTACACCATCTCCATCCAAGTCCTTGGACTCTGCAGTGGCTGCCTACTTTTCTGTCTCCACTCTGACCGCCTGCAAGAGCCAGAGTGAGCTTTTCCAAATGTCAGTGGTACTGTGCCACCTCACCGCCTGAGACCTTTTAATGGCTTTCCACTGCACTTAGAACAAATCCATGACATGACATGATACTAGACCACCTCCCAACCTCCTGCCCCCTTCCTCCAACTTGCCAAACTCCTACCTCACTGGCCCATTTCAATCCCTCTCAGTTGTGCCCTGTTCAATCTGACCTCAGGCCCAGACCCTGGCTGACTCTTGCCTGGCGGGCCTCTCCTCCAACCTTTCCCTAGTTAGCCAACCTTTTCTCACCCTCAGAGCTCAGCCTATAGCTCTTTCCCCAGAGAGGTTTGGCCTGACACCCCACCTTTAATCCAAATTTGGTTTTTTCTGTTTTTTTTTTTTCCTTCTAAAAAGCACTGAACACAATGCAAATTATATTTTTACATATATGTTATTGTCTTTCTCCCTCTTCCTATTCTTCTCTTCCTTTAATTCATAGACTTTGTAGAGGAAGAAACTATCAATTTTATTTACCTAATGAGCGGCATAAGGCCTGGGATAGAACAGAAAAGCTCAAATATTAATTGGTTGAATAAATTAATAATTTTATGAATGAATGTTATATATTGGGGGGCAAATACAATCCAGAAGAATAAAAGGGTGACAGATAAATCCAAACTGACCTTCTGGGCAGGCATTGTTGATGGAAGGAAGGTGCACCCCACCCCACCCCATAGAACAAACCACCTCCCCCAAGCATGCCACACTAGGCCTGAGATTTTTCCTTTTGACTTAAGCACGGTCGTCATCTAAAAATAAAAATGCCCCTGAGAGCAGCCAGATGAATTGAAGCATTCCTTTCTAAGGGACCCAGGGAAATAGGCAGATGCAAGGAGCAGAAGTGTAGAAGGAAAGATAGAAATGAAATGGGGAGAATGAAGAAAAGTACAGAAAAAAGAATAAAGGGCTGGAGGTCACTCACCACTTACAAAAAATCTTTATGCCAAGTACGAAAAATAAGCCCAATATGTTTCCTGTTTCTTGGGTCACATCACTGCATCACATAGTCATTATTCCTGAAATGGGCTATTCCAGCTTCTGCTCTGCACCTCAAAATAGTGTCTGCTACAAAATAATGGGGTCTACAATATGATCCTGTTAAATATATATATACACACACACACACACATATATGTGTACATACATACATATGGGTGTGTATATATATATATGGATGGGTGTGTACACATACATGTGTATACAGAATTCTGTGCAGCATTAAAAAGAATGAAGGTAGGGTTAGAAGCACCAGCACGGAAAGAAATCTACAGTATATTGTGAATTGAGAAAACCAAGTCACAGAATACTATTCAGAGTATAGTCCTATTTTTGGGAGAAAAATGAAAGCATGAAAGAGTGAAAGGGAGAGAGGGAGGGGAAGAGATGGTTTTTACACGTATGGTTCACTCCCTCACTTCATTCAAGTCTCTGCCTAATGTCATGACTTTAGAAATGCCTTCCCTGCCGGGCATGGTGGCTTACACCTATAATCCCAGCACTTTGGGAGGCTGAGGTAGGTAGATCACCTGAGGTCAGAAGTTCAAGACCAGCCTGGCCAACATGGCGAAACCCCGTCTCTACTAAAAATACGAAAAAAAAAAAAAAAAAATTAGCTGGGTGTGGTGGTGAGCGCCTGTGATCCCAGCTACTCGGGAGACTGAGGCGGGAGAATCAGTTGAACCTGGGAGATGGAGGTTGCAGTGTGCCAAGATCGCACCATTGCACACCAGCCTGGGCAACAAGGGCAAAACTCCATCTCAAAACAAAAAAAAGAAAGAAAGAAATGCCTCCCCTGACTGCCCTAGAGCACTCTAGCTCCTTATCTGCTTCACTTTTCCTCATAGCACTCACTATGTTGCATTTTATATTCATTTCTCTTTTATTGTCTCTCTCACCTGAATATAAGCCCCACAAAGACAGTCGTAGACCGTTTTGTTCACCCCTGTATCCTTAGCAACTAGAACTAAGCCTGGCACACAGTAGGCCATCAGGAAATATTTCTTAAATGTAGGAACTTCAAAGAGTTAACCTATAAAGAATGGAACAGGCAGTGGGGAAGAAAGGAAGATATGCATTTAGTTTTTATATTTTTGCAGTGTTTTGCTTTTTTTTTTTTTTCTTTTTGTACTCCCAGGCTGGAGTGCAGTGGTGTGATCTCAGCTCAGCTCACGGCAGCCTCAACCTCCTGGGGCTCAAGTGATCCTCCCACCTCAGGCCCTTAAGTAGCTGGGACTACAGGCACATGTCAACATGCCCAGCTAATTTTGTGTATTTTTTTTGTGGAGGCTGTCTCACCATGTTGCCCAGGCTGGTCTCAAATTCCTGGGCTCAAGCGATCCACCCAGCTTGGCCCCCCAAAGTGCTGGGATTACAGGCATAAGCCACCACGCCCAGCCTAGTGTTCTGCTTTATATGGCAATATGCTTTTATATTCAAAATTAAAAATCAACCACAAGTGGTGGAAGGAAAGACTTCTTGTAGACTGAGCTGATATCAAGCCCCCTGTGGCTTCCTAGAGCCGAGCAGAGCGAGGACCTCTCCTTTGTCGCCATGATGCTCTATCCTGCCCATGTGAGTTCTCCCTTTTCAGGTGGAACTGCCCATAGTTCTTTCTGCTAAGCTCAGAAGGACCAAGAGTGGGCACCAACCTCCACTATACACAGGAGAGGCATTAACCAGGAAGGAAAAGCTGAAAGGAGAATGAATTAACTTATGTTTAAGGCAGAAGAGGGCTCATACTGAAACTATTCCGTAGATGAAACAGATG